TATGGTTTCAATTCACTGAACGTGAAGTTACATGTTACACTTTGCCCATACTCATGGCACTGAAATCATATTTGTCTGCATGTTAAATCTTGTTAACCGGTGCTAGATGCCATCTGAGCATCTCAAAGTGATACCACTTCTGGAGAAGGTTAACTCTGGGCCACGTTACTCAGCCCATGTTAGGGTAACTTCAGTGTGCTCCATGAAGATAAAATGAGTGATTAGCAGTTTTCCAACATCCCAGAATTCACCACTCCCAGCCCCCTGCCCACCAGCAAGAATATGGCCCAGGTGTCCTGGCTTCTGCCAGTGGCTCCCTCTGGTGGCAAGGCAGAACTGTACAAGCAAGGAACAGCATTAACCCTTCATGTGGGACTGCTTGCAACCCTTTCAAACTTTAACACACCTTCTGTAGACCATACTCAATTCCACAAATTTATTCTGGTCTACGTGCAATGTGCAACTTCACAAGGGGTCACTTGGCTGACAGAGTTCTGGGTTTGTTGCAGAGAAGACATGGAGGGCCTCCCTGGGAGATGCGTGCTGGAGCTTGGGCAATGTCATCCTAGGCTGAACCAGCAAGTGCTATGGTGATTGTTAGGGTGACAATATTTGGATTTTGGGGAGCACTGGATTTCCAGATGAATAAAGGTTTTTTCTGTGTCTCAGCAAAAGCTGCTGGTCACAAGGCAGAATGATATATTAAACCTTGCAAATGCTTAGGTAAGCAGTTTTTTAACAAAGGGGTAGTGTCTTTAACATTTAACATGCAGACAAATATGATTTAAGTGCCATGAGTATGGGCAAAGTGCCATATTCTTGCTGGTGGGCAGAGGGGGCTGGGAGTGGTGAATTCTGGGATGTTGGAAAACTGCCAATCACTCATTTTATCTTCATGGAGCACACTGAAGTTACCCTAACATGGGCTGAGTAACGTGGCCCAGAGTTAACCTTCTCCAGAAGTGGTATCACTTTGAGATGCTCAGATGGCATCTAGCACCGGTTAACAAGATTTAACATGCAGACAATTATGATTTCAGTGCCATGAGTATGGGCAAAGCGTAACATGTAGCTTCACGTTCAGTGAATTAAAACCATAAAGCACGACATCTATCCCCGACAATCTATTGTTGCTGCTTCCCCCTCCCCCACCCCATGGGGAGGTGAGTAGGGCCAGTTCTAGCCCCAAGGTGGGCTCACTCCCACTTGGCCTCCCCATTGAGGCTGGACTCGATGATCTTCCAAGGTCCCTACCAGCCTTAATGTCTATGAAATCTACTTGTTTGAGCAAGCAAAAGAAGCCTGCACATCACCCTCAGGCTTGTCCAAACCAGGCTCTGATGGGCCAGTGCAAGGGCAGTGTTCAAGCCTTTGAGACCTGTGCTACATACCAGTGACAAGAAGCATGGACTCCCTGTATCTTGCTACATGGGAACAAGCCCAGAAAGCCATGGGCTCCATCCTTCTGGGAGGTGAGGGGCACACAGCAACTTGGGTTCAAACCAGGCTGGTCTGCCTTCCAGGGCTGCTGTAGATCTAGTGACTGGAAAAGGGCAAATATAGTGCCCATTTTTAAGAAATGGATGAGCTAGACTGTTCCCAGTTGGGGAAGATGACAGAACAAGGAGCAATAGGCTCAAGTTGCAGCAAGGGAAGTTGAGGTTAGACATGAGGACAAACTTTTTCAGTAGGGGAGGGTGGTGAAGCACTGGAACAGGCTCCCCAGAGAGGTGGTGGACTCTCCATCCTTGGAGGTTTTGAGGAGCCAACTAGACAAAGCCTTGGCTGGGATGATGTAGCTGGGGCTGGTCCTGCTTTGAGCAGGGGGTTAGACTACATGTGACCTGCTGAGGTCCCTTCCAGCCCTCATTGTCTGTGATTTCATGGTAACTGTGACCACCTGTTGGTGGGCACACTGGGAATCAACCTGCCCACTTCTGTCTACCTACAGCCAGGCCCCCATTCCTTCAAGGCTGCAGGTATGTCTGAGACAGAGATACCAGAAATTTCCCACTCTGCATCCCTGGGCTGTGCCCACACTCTACCAATACACTGTGCCAGCAGTGACTCAAACACCTCCTTGATCAGCCTGGCTTGGTTGTCCTCCCATGCTGTCTGTGGCAAGTGGCATGTGGAATCAAGTGAACTTTCTGTTACGTTTCCATTCATAATGTGTCTTCAAAGCTGGTGGAAGCAGGCATCAGCTGTGTTTTCTCCATGTTCCTGCTTTTGTCTTGGAGCACTGAGACCTGAAGTTTTGCATCTAATGAGCACTTGCAGCTTGGCTTATTTTAAAGTTGAAAAAAAATTATCTGGACATATAGGACAAGAACTTCCTGTAGACAAAATGGCACACTAAAAAGTAACAGGCCCAGGCCACCACAGTTTTCATCTTGCTTTGTCTTCTAGTAGCTGTGAAGAAGAAAAGATCATAACAGCCTTTATTTTCCTGCAGGGGGGTTGCAAAGGGGATGGAGCTGGACTGTTCTTAGTGGGGACAGATGACAGAACAAGTAGCAACGGGCTCAAGTTGCATCAGGGGAAGTTAAGGTTGGATATTAGGGCAAACTTTCTCACTAGGAAGCTGGGGAAGCGCTGGAACATGCTACCCAGAGTGGTGGTGCACAGACCATCCTTGGTCTAACCTAGTCTAACCTGAAAAGCTTGAACTAATTTGGAGGTGGATAGACATTCCCTTTTCATTCCAAAAATGCAGGCACATGCCTGCAGTGTCTCAGGCTAGAAGCTGGGGGCTAGAGCAGCCCTCCCTCCCCTTTCACAGGGCTGAGGTGAGAGGGGCAAGGCCAGACCCCAGCAGGACTCTTTTTTATTCCCTCCCTCAAACCCCCAAGCAGCCCAGCAGGGAATGTTTATCACCCCTAACTTGGTGTTTATCAAGCCATTAAGAAAACTAAGCCTCTCTCCATTAACTAATGGAGCTCCTCTTAAACATCTGTTCTTAAACAGCTTTTCCAAGGAAGGACATTAAGCTACCTGTTGATTAGCTCCAAAAAGCCTGTCTGCCCCACAGTATGGATCATAGCCAGCATGTGGTCTGCTAACTGATGCTGAGGCATCTGTGAAAGGCAGAGGAGATGGGGGCGGACTGACCCCTGCTTAGCAGGGAGAAGCCAGGAAGATGCTTTGTGCCTGAAAATCTGTGCGGAAGCTGCAGCCAGGGAGCAGAGGGGAGGGGCCAGCTCTTCTGCAGAGAGCCACGCCCAGCCCAGAGAGCATGCTGGGATGCTGGGGGAGTCTGATTTATCTTAAACCAGCAAAGGGTCTGGGACAGACATTGCATACACCAGTTTGAGCCAAATCAGGTAAGTCTGATACTATATTCAACCAGGTTTATCTCAAACCAGTTTCAGTCATTTTCAAACTGGTTTATGTGTACTGAACTTCTGTTCTGTTACAGCTTTAAACCAGTTTCTGGTCACTTAAACTGGTTTATGTGCCAACATCACTTCACCCTGCTATCTATCAGGTCATTTACAGCTTCTGGAACAGTACCTTTGAAAACAGCAAAAACGTAGCAGTGCTTACACAGGCTTCTTATCCCTTCCTAATTACTTCCAACGTCTGTGAAGGGGCTGTCAAGTGTATAGACTGTGTATAACATGTCTACAAATGGCCAAGAATCCTGCATTGGTTATGTTTAATTTCCACTCCACTTGTTTCGCTTCACTGAGATCTGCCCTGGTGAGATGCTTTCTGCATAAAGAGGGAAAGAAGCATTTGTACTTGTGAAAACAAGAAGATTCTTACCCGTGTCAATGCACTCCGAACTCTTCTCAGCTGAAAGGGAAACTCAGGCTCAAATTAGAGGTTACAGTGAATGGCAGCCTGCCCGTGCCAGTGCATCAGCCTCATTCTAATAATTCCAGTAGCAAACTGACTCTCTAGTGGCCGCGTCTACACGAGATGTTAGCTGTGGCTTTGTTACTGCACAGTCTTTTGGTACTTGCATACCCAAGAACTAAATGACTTCTCAGTAACTGGTGTTACTGTGCAGTAGCATCACTGCACGGCTTCCTGGTGATGCTGACTGCTCAGTAGCTCATGACTACTGCGGTTCATGCCCTGTGACACCACCACACAGTAGTAACAAGCTACTGTGCAGTAGTCATGAGCTACTGAGCAGTGAGCATCTTATGTCAATGCAGCCAGTAACAAGTAAACACATGGCCCAGCTCCCTCAGGATAACTGTCCCCAGGAGGCCTTGCTCCAGCAAGTGGTGTCAAGGTGGCAGGTTCTATCTGCCTTATTTGAGAGGGGAAACCCCTGATACTTGTGGAGAATCACTCCTGCCTCTTTGAAGGATGACTGTACTGTGGAGAGGAGAGACTTACGCTGGGGTAGGGTGATGTAGCATGCGTTCACTACTGTCTTACAACAGAAGCCATCTTACTCTGCAGAGCCACAGGTAGAGCAGGGAGCAGAGAGCTGAGCAGCAGATGGGGCAGGGGAAGGGGATTGGAATAGCACTGGAGGGATGGGGTTGTGTGGGGCTTAACTCGAGGCATGCCTGCCAAGAAGATTGGTCCCCACTGTTATAAGACATAACAGCAGGTTTCTTACTCGGCCTGTCTACACATGCAATTATAATTACTGTGCAGCAAACTAATTTACTGTGCAGTAAACATCTGGACGTGTAGATGGTGATGCTTTACTCTGCAGTAGATTAGTTTACTTCACAGTAAAGTGTCTTGCGTAGACACGTCCATTGTGCACGTGAACGGTGATCCTTTTTGGACTGCTGCTGAGATACGGATCTTAATTAAAACTTGTGGCAATAATTTCCATTGCATACAGAGGTTGTCTCTCACTAGATAAAAATATACTTACTTCAGTTTTGGTGAATACTTCTGTGAGGAAAGGCCAAGGGCAGTGTCTCATTAGTACATCTTTGTCTCTGTTGTTTGACTATTAACTACTGAGCCCTGAGTATTTGTATCTCTATGCTGATATTTTCTAATTCACTAAGGCACACGAACCCCTAGAAGCATTGCAGACACTCAGAGCAGTACTCACCCCCTTCGTATGCACAGTTAAAGTAGCTGCAGGTCTGTCTGGTGCTCTGGAGGAAGTAGTGGTTGCTCTCTTTGTCTACGTGAACCACCTTGAATATCTCACAGGGCGGGATTAGCACTTCCTGTTGTGACACGTTAAATGAAAATCTCATGATATTAACCCCAAAGCCAGTGTCGATGGTGAAGAATGTGGTTGTGCCAAATCCTTTAGCTACAGTTCTACTGAAAGACGAAGAGGCAAAATGTCCAAACCTGACAGGGCCAGACTTGCTGTACTGATATGCAACATTTTCAACTCCCCTGAATACCCACCTGTGGTACCTTGGATCGTAGTCCTCACTGAGGACCTGCAAAGCTCTTGTCAAATAATAATGAAAGCCTTTGAATTTGAAGTTATCTTTGTAAGTAGCTAGAGATTCCCCGCTAGACATTACTGCCTCATTAAATTGACTGTTAATATGGAGTCAGTATACACTATGACTGCTTTTCCATAGTTTTTGTGAAAGCCTTTTGGGACACTTCCTTTCACTTCATTCCATTTCTTTGCTGCCTTATTCCACTGACCTTTCAGGGGTGGGTTCATTTCTATTTCTTCTTCCAGCAGGTGTTTTGCTTGTATTTCCATGCCAGAACACCCTATATACTGGTCATTGAAAGCATTGGGTATCATGTCCAAGGGGCGAATCTCCTGAGAGAATAAAGCCAAGATGATTTTATTTTTAAGTGCGATGTTCTGCAACCTGACAGATGTCCCAGATGCAGGAGCTAATTTGCGGGGGGAACCCTTAAATTCAGAGTTAGATATTAATGAGAAAATTAATATTTATCTGCCCCTGGCTGCCTGTCATGTGGACCTTGATAGCTTACCAAATCTCAGTAAGCAGCCCTCCGTTCGAAATAATTGCCCACCTCTACTATACACATTCACATCAAAACCTATGCTAATATGCTAATGTAAAGTAAAAATAGGGTCTTGAACATTAAGCATCACTAAAAAAAGCATGCTCTTTTGCTACTGTGCATTAGGGCAGCCTGATGTGAATTCATTTCATACCTCTCATTAGAGATACTAAATTTAACGTGCAGTAGCAAAAGCACACTAATGAATGAATAGACATGTCCCCCATTGTGAGGTACTAGAAAAGTGCACATTAGCCTATTTTAATGCACATTAGCTAAAGAGCATAGTTTTTTGGTGACATTTTAATGAACATTAAAATAGACTAGTGCGCATTAAAGTGCATGTGTAGATGTACCCATGTGAACACCTTACTAAGATCCATATCCTCACAGCAGCAATGAATCAGAAGTAGCGAAGCCAGATGAGCTACTCTGGAAAGTGAATAATAGCAGTGAGGCCAAAGCTCTGTTCCATCCTTCCTTCTCCTCACCCACCTATTCCTGGAAGGTTCAGGCAGCCTTATTTACTCCTCTATGGGTGCATCTACACATGCTTTTTATCGTGCACTAGTCTATTTGGCTTAAAGCATCACAAAAAAACGTGCTCTTTCTCTAATGCTTATTACCAAAAGCACATTAATGAATGTGTAGACGTGCTGACAGCCAGGTACTAAGACCCAGGCTGAGGTCTAGGCACAGTTCTTATTGTCTTAATCCTTGACACCAGTAAATAGTTCCAAGTCAATGACAGTTCTCTTTAACATGAAAGGTTAGAGGGTGCTGCTCCAGCAACCTTTAGGCATGTGACAACCATCTTTTTGGGCTGAAAAGGGTGGGGAAGGATGATGTGCAACAACTTTACCTTTTTGAATATCTGCCAGATTTTCCAGCATGCATAAAGGATCCCCAAGACTAGTATAACTTTCATTGTGCAGCTTCAGGAAAATCCAGCTGTAGCAGTAATGGAAATGTTGAGGAAAGAAAAAAAAAAAGATTTCACTTTTTCCCACTATTCTGGATCCAGTTCCTCCACAGAAAATGGATTTCAAGGCTTGTATCTCAGTTGCAAAACTGGTCTAAACCTTTAAAAACTCCTTTTCATGCTTTCTCCAGCCAGTCCCTCCCAGTCTGTCAGGTTCCTCAGTTCCTTCAGCCTCCAAGTTTGTTCCCCCAACCCCTGCCTTTCCCACAGAGGACACCCACAAGGTACAGGGCTACAGGTGCCCTCAGGCAGACATGGCCAGAACAGCTCCAGATTCAAAGAGGCCATGATTCTCTCCACAGTGATGGCCCCTGAGCCAACATCCCCACAACTGCTCACTGGTTGTGTCCATCATGCCCAGGCCGGCTCCCTGTGCAAGTAGTTTAGCCCAGAATACATGAGGACATGCTCAGTTAGTGGCAAAGCTAAAAACAGAAGAAGTTACCTTGATCCCAGCCCAATGCAACCCCCCACCCGCCTACTTCATCAGATGCTACAAGCAACCCACCTCCTGCCCCATCAAACTTCCTGCTGGTTAGGAAAGGGTCTAGAGATGGCAGTGGCTATGCTGCTGATGGGGGAAGAACATTGCTTTTGGGGACAGATGGAGATGCAGGGCTTGGGGTAGGGGAAGAAAACCAGAAGGCCAAGAAGGGATGGAAGGGGCTGGGAAGTGGAGGAGGACCCTGGTGTTGGGATTTGTAGGCAGGAGGGCATTTTATGCTGGCACCTGATGAAGCAACTCACGCCTTTCTGACCCTGTTCGTCTTCAAGGTGTCCCCTGCCCTGCCATCTGCTTTTATGAATCTAAGTGGCTGTTTCCTAGCAGTGTAAGAGGCTGTTTTCAATTCTGTTACCCATACAGTGTGGACATATAGGAATCCACATGGTGGATCCATATGGTTCATCTAGGTCAAGATCACATTCCCATCATTTCCAGTTCTCATTTTGTGCAATGGTCAAAAGAAATAACTGTGTTTTGACTATCTGGAGCCATCCTGTCCCATAGGGTTTTTCTATATCGGGGTGGGCAAAATGCAGCCTGCGGGCCAGATGCGGCCCACTGGGCCATTCTATCCAGCCTGCAGGGCCCCTAAAAAATTTAGAAAATTAATATTTATCTGCCCCTGGTGCCCTATCATGCGGCCCTTGATGGCTTGTCAAAACTCAGTAAGTGGCCCTCTGCTCAAAATAATTGCCCACCCCTGTTTTACATCCTGATTTGGGTGTTCTTGTTCCAGTCTGATCCTTAGGGACCTGCTTAAATCGCAGTGAGACAAGGATTTTTTTCCAGCATGCATTCAGCATGAAGAGATGATTTATGCGGGTGTTGTACGACAGCCCCGCACCTCAGCCCTAGTCATTGGAAAGAATCATAGAAAATGAGGGATGGAAGGGAGCCAAGGAGCTCACATCCAGTTCAACTCCCTGCTCAAAGCAGGACCGGCCCCAACTAGCCCCAGCAGGGGAAGAAGGGGCAAGGGGGTGGTTGACAGCTTTGCTGCTGGTTGCCCTTCATGCCATCCCACCAGCCTGTGCCTTCCCTTCCTGGCAGCGAGGATGGCTGGCAATTCAGCTTTTTATTTTTATTAAGGCTTTTTTGTTGATTTTGTGGATTTTACAGGTAATCCTGGGTCATGAAACTTCTGCAAAATACATGAAACCAAAAATTAAGTAGGTTCCAACTTATCATCCTGGTACTGGACTATCCTGCACCTTGTGTAGTTGTCTCCCCATCCCATCTCCTGGCAGGAGTGCCTATCTGGTCCGCATGCCACATTTTGCTTATGTCAGGAGTTAATGCCTTGGTCAAGGTTGCAATCAGGTCTACTCTGGTCAATGCTTTAGCAAAGTAGATATGGGGATCCATGTTTCAGTGAGGCTGACACTTTCCTCTCAGGTGGGGCCTAAAACAGATGCCCTAACCACTAGTCCATGTGGGGTGTCCCTCCTCCTTTCCCGCCCTTGAAATACACATATCTGTCTGATCAGGGCCACTGAATCTTCCCCATAGCCCCATAGGGACTTCTCTGTCTATGCTGCTCAGGGAATAGAACCACCACGGGCCAAAAATGTCATCATCAGGCAGCTGGAAACCTGGATATGTGGGCACAAAAATGGGAGTACAGTATTACCTGTCTCTCTGCCTAGACCAGCTGCCCGGAGCCCACGCTGGGCTGCTCTGCAGCTCTTCTGTGCTGCCAATGCTGCCCTGGACAGCAGCCCAGGTGTAGGCTCTGGGTGGGTGCAGCAGTGAGTGCTGGGCAGCAGCAGGGGGGATGGGCGACTTTTCTCATGCGCTGAGGAAGTTTCTGCCCGGCCGTCCCTAGTGCTGTTTAGCATGAGCAGGTGAATCTGGAGCAGGAACAGGGTGGGCCAGGTCAGGGCTGTGGAGGGGGGGCCCGCTGATCCGCTCCTGCTGGAGTGAGTCCAGAGCAGGCGTGGGGCATGCTAGGGCTGCACGCTGCTGGCAGGGAGGTGCCGCAGGGTGCATGGGCTCTGGGCTGTTGTGCGATGTGGGCGAATGCTGACTAGCTCAGTGGGGTATGTGCAGGGGTCCCATGCACACCCCACCATACCCACAGGCACTGCCCTGCAAACCCCACAGCCACACCCCCTCACACGCAATCACACACCCCACAAACACTACACCCACCCACATCCTCCCCCACAGCCCCACAAACCCTACAGCCCCCAGACCCCTCTCCACATGCACTGAACCACACACCCCTATGTGCCTCTTGGGGAGCCCCACTCACTGCTATGCGCACGCACCTTACCACACACATACATCCATACCCCCCCATGCAAATGCTATCCCCCGCAGCAAACACACCCCCAGGCACTCTTCACCTCCACACACCCCATAAACCCCAAACCCAACTGGCTATACACACGCACACACACACAACCCCCACAAACCCCCCACCCACATCCACAAATACTCTCTCCCTCCCCCGCACCCCACATACACACTTCCACACACATATACCCACAGGCCCCTACAAACCCCACACCCATTCCTCCATACCTCCAACACCCCTCCACACCCCCTGCAATATATGAGTAAGACTTCATTTTGAGCTCTTATGCAATCACCTCTATATATACGACACAAGCACATACACAGTGGGACA